CCAGCGGCGGCGCGTCGCCGAAGCACGGCGGAGCCGCCGTGCCGGAGTTGCGATTTGGGCCGAAAGAGGCCCTGGGCCTAATTTGGATTTTTTTTGGAACCCGTGCAGGTACTGTTAGCGTGTTTCAGTTCCCCGGGAAAAATTCAGGGAAAATTAGGGACAGCCTGCAGGCGCACTGTGAATCGTATTCGGATCCCGAAAACAAGTAAGGACCCCTCACCCTATTTCCTATCACGGTATTAAAGTTCAAAATGATAAAACAGTATTTCTTGAATTAACGCATGTGTGAAATTGCTTAAGGTTGCTAATGGAGCCCGAGTCTAGTGTGATTGATGATTTACTGTTATTTGGCCTGTTTACAGCTTTAAATGCAAAATGAGGTTTGATGTGTTCATTTTACAGATTTGTGTGCATGTACTACGTTTTTATTAATTATGGGTTGAATGACTGAAAAACTGATACTGTATGTTGTCTGTCTGGTATGAATTACGATTTGCTTGTTTAAATGTGAATTGATGATGCTGATTGAGGAAAAGGAAAAATGAAAGATTGTGTAGACTGATAATTGTATTATGGGGGTCAGCCTGACTAGATATCCTGGGAGATGGTGGACGGACCGGGTCCGTAGGGAACCCTACCGGGATTGTGGTCTCACATGCCGGACGGGGTATGGAGATCTTATGGTTTTGGCGCCCATACCGGACGGGGTATGGGGACGGCCCGTTTCACCCTCATACCGGACGGGGTATTGAGGTTTATGGTTTTGGCGCCCATACCGGACGGGGTATTGAGGTTCATGGTTTTGGCGCCCATACCGGACGGGGTATGGGGACGGCCCTGGAAACTGATTATGAATGTTAAAGGTTAACGGGTAGCGGAACCCCTATGGACCCCCACGGATACTAGTAGGCTGGTAAATGAGAAAAAAGATATGTTGTACAATGATTGAATTACAAGATGCGTGATAAGTGTTATGTTTTACAGCTTAGATTATTCTATGATTGTGATAATGTTATTGTTTTTCTCATATTGTTTTCATAAATTCCACCGAGGTAAGTGGATGGTAAAGGTTTTCATGTTAATAAACGAGTTTATTGTAAATTATGCTTCATTGGTCTTTTTGTGGTTTTCTACCCACCTTTATCTCCGTGACGGTGAGATATCGTGATGTTCTTACTGGGCTAGTGTAGCTCACTCCTTAATTAACCATTTCAGATCAGGAAGACATGGTTCCCGAGCCCGTTCCGCAGGAGGACGACGAAGGGGATGCCTAGAGACTCTGTAGTCATACGCATAGTTTATTTTCGAGTTTTCTTTCTTTAGTTAGTTTAACCTTTTATATTTTAAGTACGTTTGTTTGGTTTTTCGTGTAAGGGATGTTAACTAAAATTTTGATCTCGCTTCCGCATTCGATATATTTAAATACTCATTTCATTTTAATATTTTCCGGGGTCGTTACAGGTTGAGTCTTGTCATGTTTGGGTTGGATATGTGAATTAGGCTGGGTCAGGTCATGCACCTAAGTTTTGGACCAAGTCCTGAACCAACTAAATACCAATTTTAGGACTATGTTCTCTGTCAGGTTGATTGTGTGCAGTCCATGATCATGTCCTGGACTTGATCAGGTCGAGTCATGCCCAAGTTCAGGATCGTGCCCAAATCCCAATTTGTGTACTGGGCTGAGTTTTGCCAGTATCCAGACCAAGACAGGAACTTTGGGAATACTATTTTTTCTTTGTTGTACTATTAATAAGAAGAAACTACAGAGGTGGGGATGTATAAATTAAAGATAGAAGACTTCAAAAACAACACGAATTTAAAACTCTTCTATGTATTATAGACAGTTGTGCAAGCTTTATCTGCTATTTTTCCTGTGTTTGTAGGTATGCACTGGTGTTATGATGCACGGTTATGGCCTTGTGAAGAAACTTTGTGATGAGCTGAAGGAATTCATGAAAATGCACAATTTCTCATCAATAGAAGACTTCAGAGGGTAAGTATATTTTACATAAGAGTATCTTTAACCTTTTTGTACTGCTACAATGAAATAAAATTAAGCTATTTGTGGAAACAAAGGTATACTTAAATTTACAGAAGAAGTAAATTCTTCTAACTTCTATTCCTTTGTTGGCTTTGTTGCAGTTATTCTCTTCAGTATTTTACGACTCACATGGATCTAGTACGAAGGCAGCAAGAAGCAATTCAACAGAGAAAAGCTGTGAGGAAAGGATTGAAGTCTGATAAAGACTGGACAGGGGATGGATTTGTGAATGAGAGTGAAAGCATGGTTTCTAATTGAAATGTTGTATTACAGAAACAGCACATAAGGCCCTTCTTCTTGTATGATCAAAATAAATGAGGGACATTTGAACTTGTGAATCTTTGAGGTAAAGCTTGTTCTTCAATATTTTATAAAAAAAATAAAAAAAGAAGTGGACTTGTTGTACTATTATTTGTAGAAACAGTTTTTATATATCTTATTAACAATCAAAATATGGATGGAAGAAAAAATCTCCATTTGATAAGACTAGAAATGATATATTAGAAAAAAATTTTGAATCTTTCAGTACCAATAACTTGATTGTTTCGCTCCTGTATTTTTTAAAAGAAAAAAAAATATCTTAGATATGTTTTTTGAAAAAGATAGTATTTGAGTTTTTTTAATAAATAAAAAGAGTGTTAATCATTCTCTTATATACATATATATATATATATATATGTTTTTTTAATGTTCTAAATATCTCAGACAGAGTAGGTAGCTGTTGTCTTCTTGAAGAAATAATTAAGCAAGAAAATGATGGAAAATCTCCAAATGATCTTGAAATACAACTAGATCTCATACAGTTGTTACAAGCACTTCCACTTTTTTTTTTTTTTTTCTTTCCTGGGAAATTGAGAATGTTACAAAATGGTCATTTACTAAGTAACAAGCAGAAGATTAGCTGGTGAAAATGGATATGGAGGTGGTAGGAAATGATATGCAGTATGGTAAAAGTTGAAGTACTGAATTTACCCACTAACATATATCTGCTCTCTGTTAAAAATGGCACCACTGTAGAAACTGACCCACCCTCCATTGATATATTTTATTCTACCTCTTCAGTTTTCCATCTTTGCTGTCTGCTTGTCAGTCATTTCCTTTTCCTGCACAAAACAACCATAAATATATATATATATATCATGAGCTGGTAAAAACAAATAACTAAAGAAGATTTGAGTAAATGTTTAAGTACAGGTAAAGATAGGAAAGGGATAGTTATATATATATATATATATATATTATATACCAGAAGATTGATTAGGGGAAGGACAAGGGTTGATGAGATCTCTGAGTTGGGAGTGCATGGTATTGATGAAAGCTCTTGTTTCTTGCTGTGGTTCTTCCATTGCCTCCCTCAGTTTGCTTAGAGCACAGCAATATGCTTCCTGCATCATTCCCATTTAATTATATATAACAAATCCAATTACATTCTCATAATTAACTATACTCATATTTTTTTATTTTATGCTTTTAAAATATGTAAATATAAATTAAATATGTAAACTCTACATACTAATTATTATATGTATATATAGCACAGATCTTTAAAACATAATTTATTACTCATACCTAACCTAACCTTAATGTTTCATTAGAAAAATCAATTTTGTTTTCAATGATAATACATTTTAAGTTACCCAATATCTAAATTTTTAAAATAAAAATATTTTTGATAGAATTAAAAGTATATATTTTCCTAGGTTTACATAAAATATTATATATATATATATAATCATTTTTTTTTATCATTTTAAGAAGAATTTTATATCTATTTTATTTCAAATATAGTCTCAACTTATTTTAAACACTTAACTATTATACATACATCCTCTAGAACTGAACTTTAGACGTTTTAGATCAGACCCATTTTTTTTAGAATGAATACACCAATTTAAATTACCATAACATATATATATATATATATATATATATATACATATATATGATTAGCCAAAAAGAAAATGAAATGCTTGGAAGGTAGGAGTAAATTATTACCATGAAATGATCAAGTTCTGATTTCCGCTTGCTAGAAGTAGTGAGAATATCATAAAGTTGTTGCTTTGGGTCGATCCTCTCATTTCTCTCCAATATTCCATCAATTCCAGTAGCCTGAACACATCAACATTCTATATCAATTAACATATACATATACATACATATACATATACATATACATATACATATACATATAAACACACACTCTTTTATCCTCTTAACATATACAAACCCATTTGTTTTTTGACGAGATCTACAATACCATTTTTAACAGTACATGCATTTTACTGAAAAAGACCTTGACTGTATTGAAATCTTTAATGGTGTATGTCTGTGTGTTTTATATATATATATATATATATATATATATATATATATATATGTTCGTATAAACGAAGTCTATAGGGGTTCATTAGGCAAAATACTAAATTAGGGATTCAGAGGAAGGAGATCAAGCCAGATATTATATAGTTATCTGTGCATTAATTACTTGGACTTTTGAAAAGATCCATACACACACACACACACACATATGTAAGCATCTTCTTCTGAGACTCCCAGAGAAACTCAATCATCTGCATGCACCCATCACTTCCTTAATTAACTTTCCCACAAGTCTAATTAATTAACAGTAATAGTCAGTTTGACCGACTGAGATTCCCAAGCCCTACTGATTTGACTAATTGCATGGGCTGATCAGAAACTAACACTAACTTCGTCACAAGTCTTTATAGATTCTTACTTTCTTAACTCAAACGATTTTCAAGGACCTTACAAACTATGACGTACAGAAATGGAAATTTCTTAATTAATTAAAACATATATATAACCAAGATTAAGAATGAAATAAATATGCAAGGCCATATCTATAATGTATATATAGTTATACCTACTATATACATTCAAGATATGACAGATTATAACTTAATTTATGTAGAACTTTCCATCTTAAAGAATAAATGAAAAAGAAAAACCATTCAGAGAAACACAAAGAAATTCGCCTATGAAGTTCTAAAAGACTTTCCCATACAGGTAAAACCATGAAGAACATATTTTTCCTTTTGACAAAAAATTATAGATTAAAATTCGAGCTTTTTTTTTAATAAAAAAAAGTAAAAATATGTTGTTCAAAAAATACAAATCTAAAACTATCCGCTTAATAGAACGAGAAATAATTTTTCTGTAATTCTTTCTTTCTATAACAGATTAATTCTGAAAGTTTACAGTCATAGCTAGTATATATATAGATCAAGAACCCTTTAAGAAAAATCTTCATATCTAAATTTTGTTAACAGTTGTTTAGATTTTAATTTGATTAATCTGCTATACAGTAGAATCCTGGCTCTGATGTTTATGTTCAAATCTAATCTGTAACTTAATTCCGCCATTTTTTCTGCCAGCCATATCAATAACTCAAAACCCTAATCTTCAGTGAGTACTGCAAACTAAGAGATCAGACCCATGTCAATGTGTTCTGCTATATATATATATACTACATATATACACATACTATATGTATGTAATTATGTTAAAGAGATCAGTTAATTAGTTCATGAGTACGGTAAGCTATAAGCGATGTGGAGATGAGAAATGAAAGAGACCTGTAAGCAATGAAGATGATGGTCAATAAGCAGACCGTACAAAGGATGAGAAGAAATTCTCCTCTTGAGGATAATCTCATCATCACCATCTTCTTCTTCTTCTTCCTCTACCTTCTGCTTCTCTCTAACACTCTTACTCTTACCCTCTTCCATATCTTCCAACATCTCTGCACCACTATCACTTATCTACATATATATTTATACACACACACACACACGCCCATATATATATAGGTAGAAGATATAGTTGAAAGGTCATAAAAAGAGAGAGAGAAAGAGAAGAGACACCCCCAATTTTGGAATGACCCATGCATGCATATATGTTGGAGGGGTATCAAGTCAGAGTACACTCATTCATGTGGCGAACTTTTTTAAATCTCTCCTTCTCTTTTAACATGAACGAAAGCAACCTTTCATGGCGGCCCTCTTCTCGAGTATCCATCTTTCGTACAACCTTTTTTTCCCTTCTCATAATCTCATTTTTATCTTTTCACTGCACACTTAAATTTTGTACCACATCACTCCAAACTCTCTACTGTTCTTAATGCTCGCTCACCTCATCTTTTCCTTGTTTCTTTCCAGGACGAGAATGTTTCTCAAACTGTTCATGCCTGGTTCTTGGTACCAACTATCTTTTCATTATAATTATAAACGAGCTGGCCCATATATATATTTATATATATACACCCCACATAGAGACATACGCATATAATAATATAATTGGGAAACACCCAAATAGATGAACAATTAAACAGCACACCATGTATATATCTATATCATCATTTGGTTTAAATGCAACAAATAGAACTTGTATAAATCACGTTAATTGAAAAACCCAACACATGAAATACTGTTGAATCAGGTCCCTTTGGTCATTAATTGACAGTTTCTGCAATTTGCAGCATGCTCCACCCAGAATGATATTATCTACTGCCCAGATTGCTTTCTTGGATATCTTAATTTTTGGCTCTCCTTTTCTTTTGGGGTTTTCAAACTGAGAAGTTAGAATAAATTAACAGAAGAACCCAGCCCATGGCTATGAGATTGGGCTTCACTTAATTTCACTCTTTGTAATGTTTACTTCAGTTTGTATAAGTTAATTTTTAACTTTAAAGAATCCAAGATAAGAATTAAAAAAAAAAATTAGAATAAATTATTTAATTCCATATATATATATATATATATATGTATGTCAAACTTAATGTAGAAAATGCGACCTAAATATAAAAGTCTCTCATCCCTTTCTTACATGGGGAGAGATATAACTAAATATATATATACATATATATGAATTTGACTTGTTCAATACATTAAATTGATAACGTGATTTTAGGGATACGTTCATACAAACTAGTTTCCCAGAAAAATCATTCTTGAAAAATGGAGTCCTCGCATTTTTTTCTTCAATAATAAAGATGATGGGTCTGTTACTGTTCTCAGTCACGCCATACATACATATATGATATGGGTGTGTACGTATATATAAGATCACGCAGAGAGAGAGAGAGAGAGAGAAGAGAGCTGAGAAATATAATAATAATAGAGATGAAGGCGCAGGGCTTCTTCTTTCTTATACGCTTATGCTGTTTTATCCTTCTCTTCTGCCATCTATTGACCCACACCAGGTATCAAATATAATGTAACATATCACAGCAATTATCTAATTAATTAATTATAAGTATGTTTACATTAGAAAATACCGTTAATTATCTAATTAATAATCAATACTAACTGATCTTGGGTGTATCATGTATGCACTTTTTGGTAGGTCGGCGGCAGCTCAATGGGTTTCGGATTCTAAATCCACTTTCGACCGCCGTCGCCACGGCTATATGAGTTCACCTCCTCCCCCACGAGCTCCTCCTGGTGGTCGTCCTTGAAAGTCTCCACTCAGATTCTTGTATTAGCAAAGCTCATTTAGACACTGTGTGTGTGTGCGTGTGGGTATGGGTGTGCGCCTTAACAATGGTGATTTAGAAGGAAGAAAGGAAAATCAGCGAGTCAAGTTTCAAGAAGTTCTGTTCCTTAATTCCTTTGGCTATATATGATCACCAGATCAAGAGCACTCTACAGAATTTACAACCATTTTCTAGGAACCCAAACAGACCCAAAAATCAGGCCATGAGAAATAAGATCACTTTGTACAAGTAGCTAAATAAGAAACTAAACCCACCTGTAATTGCAATAATTTTTATTTAAATAGTATAAATCATACTCACCTCTACAATTGCAGCATGCGGGATGTTCAATACAACATGAGGATCTCGCCCATTTTTATCACAAAACATATAGATCATTATCAGTAATCTCTTCAGAAAATTTGAGCCACCACGCACCACCAAATGTGACTTACCCAGAAAATATGCAGTCCCACTTTCCCTGGCATCAATCAATCCTTGCAGCTCCTCTCTCACGCCAACTCGCATCTTCGGACTATTTGCAGGCAACATAAACCTCACCCTCTTTCTCTTTACCGGAGTACTAGTACTTCTTTCCATCAACGGATTTACCTGAGTCTCTGCATCTGTTATTTCCATGCTGCTTGTTTCAGTTGCAGAGTAAGAATCCTGTACAGGTACTAATGCATTTCCTTCGGGTAAGGGTTTTCCGACAACAATCATTTGTCCTTCAGGTGATGTAGATTCTAGATCCTGTTCTTCCATGGAGATGAACTCTCCAATAGATTGAATAATGTGTTCCTCAAAATCATCTTTGTCTGTAATTTGATCACAATAACCGTATCTCACAATGCATCTATAAATCCTGTACTCTTTAGGACCAACCCGGCCTATAAGATACCGTTGAGTTGGGGGAACAAAAGGCACTGGTAGAGACTTGGAGGATACAAAGATCAGTACTTGATGGAATGCAGGAAGATTTGTGATGAAGTGTGAAAAAAATGCAGGGATTCCTGTCACTATGTCTGTGTAAATGAAGCCAATTCCTGGTATTCTGGAAACTCCTAAACCCAGGCTAAGATCTGTCAGCCATTCAGTCGATACCTTGTTTTGAATGTCGAACTCATACTTCTTCATGGTTCCATAATGCCACGAAACCATTATTATTAAGGATAATGCTGAGAGGGCAACTAAAAACCAAGCTCCCCTATGAAAATTGAGAATACATGCTGATAGGAACATTGCTTCAATGGTGCCAAAGAACATCAGAAAACATGAAGCAATAGGAACACTCTTCTCCCAGTACAATGCAATTACAAGCGACATCAGACAAGTCGTTACGAGCATCCCACAGATTATTGCCAAACCTGTTGAATCAAAATTTTTAAAATAGAACCGTTAAAATACAAACTTCCATATAAAGAAAACAGCTCCGGTGGATCTCTTTGTCATGAACACTGTTGAAACTAAAGAATACCTGTTGCATTTGCAATTCGTGCAATATCGTGGAAACCTATTGTGACACTGAGGCTAAGGATCATCAGTAACCAGTTGATATCTGGAATATAAATTTGCCCATGTATTTTAGCAGATGTATGAACTACTTTAACTCTGGGAAAACAACCAAGTGCTAAGCACTGGTTAATGGTGGAGAAACAAGCTGTTATTGTTGCTTGGCTTCCCACAGCGGATGCAAGCAAAGACAGCACTATGAAGACATGACGAAAATTTTCTGCAGTTGCCATACATGCTTCAGTAAATATCAGTCCCATGTCAAGCAGCCGCCATAGATAAGTAATAGAGAGCAAACTACATACTAGGTACAGATGTACTGAGACCGTTAAAATGTTTAGGAACATCATTCCTGGATATACACGTGGAAATAAATGCAGCTTGACCGGCATAGCATAAAATAAGGACTGGATAAATAAAGCCTATGAATGTGCTCTGCAAAAGACACCAGAAAATTGTTCTTTGTACATATTGAATTAGAGTTTCAATGCAGTGGCAGCAGGTTAGCGATATAATACCTTGATTGATCTCATGGAGAAATGACCTAGATCGGCAAACATTGCCTCTGATCCTGCAAAACTTAACAGACAACTTATCAGAATATAAGAAAAAAGGATATAATTCTTAAAAAAAATTTTACAAGGATCGAAGAACATAACCTAAATAAATTCTAAACCTACTTAAAAGGACTACATGACTAACCTGCTACACAGAGAATGATGCTGCTCAATGACCTCCAACTCAGTCTGCTAACACCTCTGAAAAATCTGTACAAGTATACTGGGGAAATTGCAGATAGTATTTTCTGATCGCAGTTGACTATATTATATGTACCAACTCCCCCAATGAACAAAAGCCAAACAATGACAATCGGAGCAAAAATAGACCCAATTTTACGAGTCCCAAAGTGTTGCAGCATGAATAGGAAGAGTAATATCACACATGCGAGGGAAACTGGTAAATCTGAACAAATAATGTAGCACAGAATTAAATAGTTATTCCTTAAATTTTAAAAAAGTGCTAAAATTACAGATTATCCCAAACTGAGTTCCACTGACAGAAAGTAAGAAATATAAGATTGTGATGCAGAATGGATTAGCATTAGTTTTTCTGAATAAATTAAAAATTGTAATTATATTAAATGTAAAACAACAATACTATTTAGGGGTTCATTATTAATTATATTACTTAGGAGTATTATTATAGCTTCAGCAATTTAGGATTTCTATTTTTATTAATATTGATAATCTTATTAGTATTAGTTTCTTATTGTTATTAAAATTTGTATTCTAATTCTACTAGTTTATTATTTCTAAAATTTTAATTTTATTTAGCAAATGTTGCTCAAGATTATTATAAATAGCAAATGACCTAGATCGGCAAGTATTCAATAATATATTCTAAGAGTTTCTTATTTTTTCTAGTTATATTTGTGCTATCAGATTGTACACTATAAAAAAAAATATAATTTTGTGGTAGAATACTTACACTTTTTCTAGATCTTCAGATATCTTTTCTTGCTTTTTCTGTGAGGATGAAACTGTACATACAAGGGCATATATGAACTTAGTTAGCGACTGGTATTAATTCATAACACAGCAAATTAACATTGATCTTAGCACAAGTTCTCTCATTGATCCTTCCCCCACCAACACAAATAAGTAAATAAGTACCTACTATTTATGTACCTTTTATATCTGCCAATGATTTGCGGAAGCCCGACACTGCTGATAGTACTGGCAAGGGAAACAAACAAGCAAAATGAAATATCCAAGTCAAATAACATCAAGCGCATAAGAGAACTGGAAAATGAAAACATTTTTAATTGGATATCGATGCCAATAACTGCATTAAATTATCTTAGGAATCTATCAGGGGTGACAAACCAGAGAGAGCAGGAGTAAGCACTGCATCACCAATCATCATGCATGAGCCAGACACCGCAAGTAATAACATCAAGTAGTGAACATTTTTGTATTTTTCGATAGCACGTCTAGCCCTAGTTTTCTTCTTAACTCCAGAAGGACTTCCGTCATTATAAAGCATAACATCATTAGAACTTCTATCATTTGGAAGCAGTCCCACTTTGGCATACCTGCACAACAATGAATACAAAGCAAAAGTACCGCCTGCAAGAATCTCATGAAATTAATGTTATTTTGTATTATGGTCCTGTCCTCAAAGTTCTTGTATTCTTGAACAATTATTAAAGATTATTACCTTCTCCATCATCATCAGCCCTCAGCACTATGAGGGCATATTTCAGTAAGGAAATAATTGTGAGGGTCCAGAAGATAAAGGAAAAGAACTCATATACGTGTTCCTTTGATTTGAAATCCTCTTCAGGAATTGACCAGAAAACGTATAAGGGAGCAGTTCCTAATCGCCCGTAAATTACTCCAAGGCTTTGGAATGACAAAAGGAGTGTATGCTTCCAAGTCTCCTTCTGCATCTTAGCAAGTAGAAACAAAGATCAGACCATCAAATCTAATGACAGAGAACTGAACTTGCATGGTTGGGGCCGTCGTAGTTGCAGCCAAAGTGATTCCCCATATACAGGAAAATAAATCCAAAAAAAAGGACTATATAATGTGAAACCTTATAGCCGTGGCTGAACACAAAAGGCCTCACATGAAAAACTTAAGGAATCTAAACTGAGAGTGTCCAGCAGATGAATCAAATCCAAACAAATACTCAGCTTGTACTTCTACAAGTAATATTATCGAGAAGGAAGATACAGAAACAACCATCCATATTTAGGCTTTTCTGTTAAAGTAACATAACCCAGTTTTCTCCTTTTCCTTCTAGTTACCAACAAAAACAATCAATTCTATCTATCTGTGTGCATAGACTAACTTCTTAGTTAGCTATAAAAATTTATTTTGGATTAAGGCTCTATCTTTCTCTCTCCAGTTGGATGGTTGATTCTGAGCTCTAGACCACCGTTAGAAAAAAAGGGTTAAATGGAAAATTCAAGGCACAAGGATATTCATACGGATTACATGAACAGCAACCACAGACCTCAAATAAAGAGAACAACTATTCAAAGTTATAAAAACATGGAATTAAATTATTACACCCTCAACTATTTACCTCATCCTTCTGAAATGCAATTTGATGAAACAAATTATTGAAATATCAATGCTCCCATTTTTGGGAACCTCTGAAATATTCAAAATTCAGCTAAATTAACTTATAGTACCAACTTAGGACCAGAAATCCTCCATTCAACTGGCACCAAATCTCGTAATAGTTGCCTTCAAAGTTTCAAGAAGATGAATATCAGATGCAACATCATTTAAACCCACTAGCGAAACAAACATCTAAGCAAAAAGATTCTCCTAAACTTGAATGACACTGTGGAGAAGAGGAGTATATAATACATATGTATATTTATGTATGTATACATGCATGTATAACATACCCACTTGACAAGTGATGAAGAAGAAAAGGGATTCACCTTGAGAGAAGCAGAGTAAGTAGCAGGGCTGAGCCGGGGATCCATGTATGGAGACGATAGAGTCAAAGAAAAATTTTAGGGGAGAAAGAACCAAAACTACATGAAGAAAAGACAAGAATGGGAACGAGTAGCGATGGAGTCTATGTGTAAGCATTATTTTTGAGAATAAACTAAATGAAGGATATTTCCTGCGGAGAGTCAGAGGAAACCATTACAGCTCACCCAGACGCAGCTCGTGAAACTGTGGTGTATGTGTTGCTTTCTTGTAGTAGGTGAAGCGATTCGGCCGATATTCCATCAATGTCGGAGAGCTCTTTATATGTATATATATACATATACAATTACTAATTAGCCCCCATAAAAATAGGTATTTTTGGAGGAACCCCCATTAGAGAACATATATTTCAAATTTTCCTTGTGAAAATTAATATAATATAAACCACAATTAGTCATTTGCTGAGACCCGTATAAGATGGATCTCACGTTTGGAGCCCACATTCCCGTCAGATTTAGTCAGTGTGTATTTCTTGAGGCTGGCTATTTGACTTTCGGATTTGTTTCAGCCGGCTAAAATTGATTTATTAAAATCACGTTTCACAAGCTATGCCGTTTGGGAAAGCCAAACCAGCAAGTAGCTAAATGGAAATGAGTAAACAAGAGTTTTAAGATTTGTAACCAGGGCCCTATGAATGAAAACATCAATCCTGGCATCTGCCTAACCAAATTTACCCTTTTGGCTTGGGCTCTAGCCTCTTACAAAAAAGCCATCAGGGCTAAGAAAAACAAAACTGAGGCATCTGCATATACCCCCAAAATCAAATGACTAAATCCCATTACAACCATATACTAATCTTCAAAGCACAAACCTAAGTATATGCTTTCTTCACAGTTGCTTCTGTTGCAGTTTAATGACAGAGGTTGGATTACCACAGGAGGCAACACAGGGTTGTATAATGGAAATTTCCTTTTAACAGGCTAATGGTAATTTTATTCGAAAAAAGAAAAATAAGCAGGCAGAACCTCCTTTCATGCCCGTCTACCTGCAGATGGAGTTGAAATGTCCATCAAATTTATATCATATAATTTCTCAATCACAAGCTTCTTCCCAATCATCCACTACATCGGAAGGTTCAGCTTCACTAAAATTTCCTACAGGCTGCCTTGTTGAATTTGAACTGCTTACATTTGATCCAGATGTAGACCCCCCTGCTTGTTTTGTAGGATCTTCATTTCCAATTAATGCAGTAGATGAAGTGACTACCTTTTCAGAATCTAAGACACTCCATCTGTTTAATGATGTGGCAATTGGTGCATCCTTCCCTTTCCATGCAGATCCATGCAGATCTGCTGAACCACCAGAGACGTCTTCACCCCCCCATGAGTCATCCCCCCAGTTACACTCCTGAACCACAGCCTTCTTCCATGGATTGCCTTTCAAAGCAGACACTCCTCCTTCCTTGGCAATCCTAGCTCCTCCCCAGGCATTAGTAGCCACTGACTGTGTCGCTGGCCCACTGTTCTGAACAACCACGACAGCTCCATTGTAAACTGATCCATGATCCAGCCTCCTCATAGCAGTTGCTGCCCGAGCGGGATCATTAAACACGGCCAATGCATTCTTGTCACTCAACCAAACTAATTCGCATTCGCCCCCAAACCTCAGGACCAAAGCACTTATGTCTGCTTCCCTGGGCAAATCTAGAAAAGAAACAACAAGCCTGGGATCCATGTCTACTAGAGGATCGAAAGCTGGAGGATGGGGAGCTCCTATAGCAATTGACCCTTTAACCCCAATCACACGTGGTGGGGGTTTTGACTTGGGAGTAACATGAACCACTATAAACCGCTTTGGCTCCCAACCAGCAGCATTAACAGAAAGTTTCCACCTATCAGCAATAACCCTCACAGCATCCCTCTTCTCCTTCAGCATAGGGCAGAAAACATGAACCTTAAGGCTACTTGTAGTTCCTTTGCTCTTCCCAAGAACTAAGAATTTACATCTCTCCTCCACTGCTAGTACCCACTTTGGATCACGCCTATAAAGGTCTGAAAGCAACTCAGTTATAACAGAATTCTCACCAAAATGAAGAGCATCCAAGTTTGGGAGAGTGATATCAAAAGCATCGGCTAAAACCCGCTTACGCTCCAATTTAGCACATTCATCGTCACACATAAGTTTCCTCTGTCCAAGAGGAATCTTCTTCCCAGTTGATTCCACTGGTTGAAGCAGAACCGGTAACTTCTGGACAATGGAAGCTTCATAAACAGTGTCACCATTGAAACTATTACTGCCACCTCCTGCATCACAAGGAACTGTTGCTGTTATCCGGCCACAGGAGCAAGAAATGCTGACCGGATAATCGCATCTAACATCAGGACAAGGAGCAGAAGGATGACAGATTGCCGTACAAGTATGTCTGCAATCTATCCTAGGAGCACCACACGTCTGTCCACAAGATGTCTTCATATATGACTCACATTCAGAGGGATTATCACAAGGCGAGGGGTGACAAGTTCTGCCACATGCATGCATGCCACAGCGCCTGGTCTTCCCACAGAGTTTGTTACATCTGATGTCTTTTGATCCACAAGGTATGTTCGTGAGGACCACATGTCCACCAATGCATTTCTTTTCTACAGGCACTGAGCAAGGCGAGCAATCTCCAAAATGGCAGCTGTGAGACGATGAATGGCCACAAGGCTGAGGAACTGAGCAAGGAAATTGGCAGGAAGGAGGAGGTGTGCCACATGGTAATGGAGGAGGGATTGAAGTTCTCCCACAAGCACAGGTTAGATCGGTGAAAATTGTTTCAAGACAAGGAGGGCAATGGCCACTGTGACATAAAGATTCACAAGAATGCTGTCCACACCTGAGCTTCTTACCACAGGCCATTTGACAAAAGTGAAGATCCCAATCTCCAGAGAGATGGTTGTGGTTTGAGAGAGGAC